TTTTTTTAAATGTAATTTTGATGAACTTTCTTCAGGTTGCTAAGAAGGAGAAGCTCGGGGACAGAATCACAGCGCTGCAACAACTTGTTTCGCCATTTGGCAAGGTTAATTTTTCTGAATTCCCGTTAGGGAACTATGGAACCATTCCGTCGGGGTTTGTAATTGTTAGATCAACTATCCCGATGGTTACATGATGATCTAAACGGTTATAAGTCCCGACGGAATGTTTCCGTAACGAGACCAAAGCATTTTCCCATAATTTGATGCTTAAGATGTAGAGTCGTCATAGGTTATCCTTCATGGATGATCCTTAAACAATCAAATAAAACACAAGGAGAATATGGGTTAATTTTAATTGATGTTTTTATGCAGTGTTAACATGTTGTGATATATGCTCATTTGGCTAGTTGAGTGTTATAACTTGGATGTTATTCGAATAGTATTGGTCATGACATATTGTGTATCATTTGATTGATAGTCATGACTATATATGATGATACTTGTGTATGTGGGCAATGTTCTTATTCGTTACAATTTATTCGAAATACTTGTGCAAATGGCTCGTATAATTGATATACACGAGGTAAGCCGTGTAGATGATTGACGGGCGCCACTTTTCACCTTAACAAAATGTTATGTTTGGTTTATTGAACGGTGCAGACGGATACAGCTTCTGTTCTTCATGAAGCATCGGGGTATATAAGATTTTTGCACGATCAAGTCCAAGTTTTATGTTCTCCATATTTGCAACGTTTGCCGACCACCATTGAGGAGCCTCCTCATCCAGTAAGCTTTGATTATTATTTGTCGTTGTTAGTAATCGTCATGACTTACTATTTGTCATGATTTTAATATAATAGGAAAACGGAGATCTCAAGGAGTGGGAAACGAAAAAGAAAAGTTATCTGAGAAGCCGAGGACTGTGCCTTGTCCCGGTGGAGCTCACACTACATGTGGCAGAAGAATCTATTAATGGTGCCGATTTGTGGTCATCGGCGGCTGTGGTCGACAGTGTTTTAACTGGCTAAGCCGCTAAGTGTCTGCAAATGTTTAGATGATCGGCAATTTTGTGGTTCGTTGGCAGAAAGTTTGTATCGTGAAAAGAACCGAAAGCCGAAAGGACAAGGAAAGTGAAAAGAAGTGGTAAATATTAGGTGTGTGTAGGATAGGAATGGAACTGCTACTTGGTCTCGAGTGTTTTTGGTTCTTGGCTTGTGTAATGTTTTGTGGAGATTGGGCAGAAAATGGTATTAGGGCTACAACAAGAATCATAAGTACGCATAATTTATGTTTGGTTAATCGTGGTATAATGTTAAAATTGATTTTTTTTTTTTTTTAATATGGTTACTGATGTTTAAAAGGTTTTATTTGTTAGCGTTTGAAAATCGCAGTGAATAGATAATTTATTTCACAGGAAACTGGTGCAAGAACTTCAGAACACTAAAAAGGGGAAATGCTAAGTTGCCAAGTTTCCGTACGGACTATTTTGTCGGGATTTGTAACAGTTAGATTATCGTGTAACCGTCAGAGATAGTTGATCTAACGGTTATAAATTTTGACGGAATGGTATCGACTGTAGAATCTTCCAAAAAACTACTAAAAGCTAGAAGTAAAAAGCTTTTGTTCAACAACTCTTGTATTGTAGTTGTTTAATCAAATTTAAAAAGGCGGATTTAAATCGATTTCCAATACACTAAGAAAATGATGATGGAAGTCAAACGTAAATATATTCAAATATATTTCCATTGAAATTTTTCAGTGGATTCCAACGAAAATTCCAACAAATATATTTCGTTGGAATGAGTTTTCCATTGAAATTTTCGTTGGATTTTGACGATTCCAACGGGGGTGGAAAATAAAATTCCAACGAAAATTGCACGGAAATTAGTACGGTAAAAAGCCGTTAGAAATATAGTCGTTGGAATCATCGAATTCCATCTTAAATTACAACGAAAAACACATTCCAACGGAAGTTATACCATTAGAATATCCATTGGAAATATCATTGAAATATATTATTATATGATTTTTCGTTGAAATATAACGATTTTTTTTGTAGTGATAATACATATTAAGAATTTGCAAATAGAAATTACAAATGTCAACGAGTTCCAATACATATTCATATTAAGAATTTGTAATAGAAATTACAAATGACAACACATGAATGTGAGATGAAACTAGATTTTTATTAGTAAACAATAAATTTATTATAATTAGAGATAACAACTAGTTCAATATTGCATAGAACACATATAGTCGAATCACATATAATTTTTTTGCCATGAAGAAACAGATACTCCAATACTGTGCAACTAGTATTACGATTTTTTTCCCAGGATAAGACGGCTCAAAGTGTGAAGACTGCGTTATATAACACACTGACCTTGATCAAAATGTTAGCTGCCAAAAACCTTTTATTTTTCTTGTTCTTGTGGAGAATGAGAGAGAATTTATGTATATATAAAGTGTTCCTTTTTGCTTTTCTTGGTATGTTCTCGTCTGTCACCCATACACTATATATATTAGTATTCTAGAATTCGCTAGGCGCTCGACCAGCGCGTAGCACCTAGAGCGCCTAGTCGGCGCCTAAGCGGGGCCTAAAAATCAAGATTAAATACCTTACTCTCTCCATTTTATTATAAAAGTCGTTATGTACTTCTGCACAGGGATTAAGATTGCTTTCTTTTACCAATATTACCCTTATTTAATTTCAATTGATATTAATTAAATTAATTTAAGTGTTGTTATGTTTTTTTAAGAATAAAAACTCTTCATCTTCCACATCGTTCCTTCACAAAAACAGCTTAATAAAAAACACAGCCTCACCAAAAAGTTTTCGTTTGGAGCCAAAATTTTGACAATGAGGTAAAATCAAATTCACATTCAAAATCCGATCGATTTGAACGAACCTCCTTACGACGTAGAAGATGCACTCCCAAGATCTTCACAGAACATTATAATTGACCAAAATGTCGACGAAAGCCCGAAAATGGATACCCTATTATCGAGCTCAACTTAAATCAATTTTTTGAAGATGTTGACGAAGCTTGTCCGATTCATCTGTGGAAGAGGATATTGGCCAACAAGCTAATGGTTGATAAGGAAATAGAGACATACAAGGGGTACTTCAAGGGCACGTAAATGGTGAAGTAGTGGAAACACGACAAGGTGAGTTATTTTACAAAAATTTAAAATCTTAGAAAAATGTTCTTTTATACATAGCTATATGTGTTGCTTGTATGTTTAGAGAGAGAGGGAAATGTTCTTTTGTTTTTTCAATTTATCTTGAAGGGTACAAGACGAGATTTGCTAATTAGTTTTTAATTTCTTGATTAATTTTCTGCAATCTTCTAGATTTCCATCTTTTAGCAGTTGATTAATTTTGTTTTAATTTTGTTCAGTAGTTCTTGATGTGATGACTATTTTTATGACCAATGTGGAAATTATTGGATGCCAAACATATGAATTCTTCACCACTGTTTGTGAGTAACCTTAGAATTGATGTTATGTTTTAAGGGATTTTGGTAATATCTTGCTTCAGGATTTCACCTTTTTTTTTTTCCTTTACTTTGACATGCATGAAATACTAATAATTGAGGAAATTATTCAGTTCTTTGTGAAGAAATATAGGGAAATGTAAAAGCTATTTCTTTGTATATTGTCATTTTGATTGCATGTGGTGATACATACATACATAAGATCTCTTCGGATTTGAAAATTTTTGTTGGAAAAAAATCATTTCTTTCTTTATGTGTTGGCTTTTTGTTCTTTTTTCATAATCATTGTGATGAAAATAAATCTTTTTTTTTCGAAAGAATAGAGATATTATATAAACGCGCACAAATGTGCAAAGGAACAACCATCAGCTGAATACAAACAACCAACAGCTGAATACAAACAGTCAACAGCTGAATAAAATGAGAGGACAGGTCAACAGATCGCTTAGAGGCGACCACAACAGGGTAATACTCGGGAACACAACAAAAACTAGGACACTAAAATCTCCCAAAAGGAGAATGAAAAAGAAAAGAAAAAAAAACGACCCCAACAGGGTAATACCGGAGTGTACGATCCCAACAAGATAATAAAGTCACACTCGGGCTAACTGAGGCCAACGGCCCAAACCTAAAACACAAATACATCACAGACACAGATACGAAAAACACAAAACAAGAACAACAATAAACTAAAATAACGAACAACCCTTCCCCGACAAACAAGCAGGCCTAACCAGCAGTGAACAATCGGCACAAGAAAGAGTTCCAGCCCGAAAAACCACTACCGAAACTGCGCAACCGCCTATACAGTAGCCAAAACTGAGCCCCGAACCATTCCCCAAATCGACTCACCTCCAACCGAGAGAAAACCGACCAACCAACCCCCACTCGCCCCTCTCGAACCCGTCTAACACCACTAGCCGAGCTCAAAAGAGTCAGGTTCCCGGACCCCCTCCGCCTAACACCACTAGCTGAAACAGAGGAGGGGGGTAGGTGGTACAGTTCATCAACCCTGATCGCCACAAACGAAGACGTCGCAGCAGTCGGGGCCTCCCCATCCTCAAAGCCGCACTCCGCCGAGCACCACCGCAGAACTCCGGCTGCGAAAAACCACCCACAGGATGTCTCGCCGGAGAGAACGGAAATGACCAGCAGAAAACTCCAAACACCAACAAAGCGGGAGAGGAGCTTACCATCTCCAATTGAGGGTCCGCCGGCGTCCGGGAGAAAACAACCCATCACCGACAGGAATCCGATCACAGGGACGGCATCTCGAGCCTCTAAATGGACGTCGATTGAAGGCAGCAATGCAACGGAACTGCAACAAAATTTGGGACACACGACATCCAAGACGGGACGAGCGCTGGCCAGGCCCCGCAGTCACCGAGTAAGGCTAATCGACGGCAAAACAAAGAGGAGCAGCGGTTAGGGTTGAGACGCAGAGAAGAGGGCTAATCGGCAAAGAGAGAGCAATTTCTTTAGTCATTAAATTACTTTCTAGAGTAAGGATTCACTCAGGAAAAAAAAAAACCTTGTTAAGAAATTGTTTCCTGGGATTTTTTATTTCACCTTGGCTCGCCCTTCAATTGAAGTGTTTTGTTCTATATGTTATTTCTTCAAATTGCTTGGTTCTCTATGTTAAAATTGGTTACAACTATTTTGATAGGCAATGTTCAAGGGAGAAAGAAAAGGACCCTAACTAACACTGAACGTTAGACAGTTTACCATGCTTTGTTGGAGAAAAGTGTAAATGATAAATTGAAAAAGAATACAACAAAAGAAATGAAAGATCTGTTCAATATTGAAAAGCTGCAAATAGTTCAAAGAATTTGGAACATTCACAAGAGAACTCCACTAGGATCAGATATGGATGTTTCATCGAGAAAGGGAAAAAATTGTGGTCGTAAATGAATAGGTGGATTTAAATAGAATTCAACAGATAGAGTAGCATCAACGAACAACACTTGCATCTCTTTCTAATGCTTTAGGAGTTAGTTGTTCCAAATTGTACAACCTTTTTAAGCAAGGCGTTCTACATCGTCACTCAAGTGCTATCAAACCACATTTGAAAGACGAAAACAAAACAGCACGACTAGAGTTCTGTTTATCGATGGTTGAAGAAAGTGTCGAACGAGCCAAAGTTTAAGGGAATGTATAACTAAGTGCACATTGACGAGAAATGGTTTTACATGACAAATAAGGAGCAAAGGTATTACCTGCTCGACAATGAAGAGGATCCTCAGCGTTCATGCCAAAGTAAAAATAACATTGAAAAAGTCATGTTTTTAGCAGCCACGGCTCGTCCTAGATTTGATGGTGATGTATGTTGGTGTATATACTGAAAGCTTCGCTGTAGATGTATTTATACTGAACCCGTTTGAATGAGAATCATGTTTAATTAAACAAGTCTATGTTCTGTTGTTTCTGCACTTAGATAGAAGGGAAAAAATCTTTTTCACCCCAATACAAAGATACATTAAGTTTTTCACACTGCCCAATAAGAAGCTAAGTTTTTCACCCCGAAAAGT